ACGCCGGCTGCATTGCTGCACCGTACAAGCATGAAAATTAATTTTGCTCTTTTGAATACAAGCCATTTAATTAATTTGGTGTCGTCCATCAACAAACCAGTACATTTTCCTCAACCTTCTTTTGTTTTTTCCACTCTGTGTGTTTCTAAAGCGCGAGAATTAATATAGTTTGTAGTACATAAAAAATGGCTCTTAACTACCTCCAACGTTTGCTGAGATTTGGCCCAGGCTTTACCTGTTGAGCAATATGAGAGAGCTGAGCTGCCTGTAGTGTTGTACCTTGTACGGCTGCCGTTTGTGAAGGCGTCACTGAGCTGGTACTGCCGCTCTTGTGCACCTCTTCCATAATCAGCTGCAAGAAAAGTAACGAGTGAAATTCAGTTAACGATCCATCCGAACAGCTGGCAGGCGCTCAGCCTCCCCCGACGCTTTACAGAATCTCCGTGCAGAATGCTTTTAGTCTTGTCTGGACATTTTTGATTAGTTCCTTGTCCTTTGATGCCACTTTCCATTCTGGAACAGCATGGCATTTTTTGTCCCTTCCCCTGCGATGCCCCAAGCGTTGCCAGGCCGGCAACTCCCGTTCCGCCTGACAACACCGGCAGCCCAACCCTCTGTCTGCACCCGTTCGGACCCACCCCACGCTGTCAAATGCATTTACTGAATCTCCTGGGTTTGACTGAAAATAAAGCCAAGCCATGAGGTCTAGGAAGAAAACCAAGGTGAAGCATTTACACTAAGGAATATCTTGCTCCAAGTAAAATACTTCTGAAAAACGTTTTACCCAAGCTACCAGCCAAACCTATTTTCAAACACCTGAAGGTGTATAAAAACAAAACAGGGATCCAAAATCAAAGCACAGAGTTTTGAATTTTAAACCCTGCCAAAGTCACTCCGTCTCCACATAATACAGTCAGTAACGCTTCTCTCATTTCTGAGACTTTATATTTAACCGTTCAGTGTGTCTTGACAGCATCCCCCCTCCAATATTGGGGGATTCAGTGATGTCAAAACGCATGGGGTGAGTGGGTGGACCAGCCTCGAGCATTAAAAGATGATCGGCGACTGTTCAACATTTTGTCACAGAAGGTTTGAAACTGTTGAAAGGACAGTTGCTATGAGACTGGAAATTACATTTCTTTCTGTGGAAATGTGAGTCATTGATTTTTCCCTACTGAGATAAACCACAGCTCTTGCAGCCTGACGTACGCTTCAGAGGGTAAAAAGTCAAGGCACACCAAGACCAGAAGCTTGTTCTTGCAATCCCTGCTCATCTGAGGAGCCCCAGTGCAGAACTCCTCACAGAAGCTGCTAAAACAGGACCTTGTGGAGAGAAAACTGAAGGTCGGGTGATGAAACCGTATCCTTCACAGCAGAGCAGAAGCGTTCTCTAACATCTGATACAGCTTCCCCACATACTTCTGTCCATAAACATGAAATAATCCATCCACAGTTTAAGCTGAAGCAGCAAAATGAAGGCTTCACTCCAGAACAAACAGCTCACGGGAGCAGGGCAGCGCTTCGGCTCTTCCCAGCTTCTGGCAGCCTCCAGCTACTCAAACCCACCCCGGGTGCCTTTGCGCAGCTTCTCACGTCACGGCGGCCGCTCAGGCGAGCGTGCCCTC